TTCGTGAGTTCGAGTGCCGCTAGACGCGAGCCGGTGATTGCGATCAGACTTGCTTCCATCCTCTTCCGTGCGTACATCATTTTGGTATAAGAGCTTGCTCGAGCCATAGGACGTTCCCGGGGTGAGATCTATCCTTTTATAATTTCTGTTTTATCATTTGTTCGAGTTTCCTTGAAAAAGCCGAAAACAATTTCACCAAAAACATCCCAAAGTCTGAGTTTGTGTCGCTTCGATTTGCAGATTGAACCGGAGGAGTATTGATCGAGTTTTCCAAACCTAAAACGCAGCTGAATCCGGTGAGATCGCTCCTTGCTTCTCGCTTCGGTTCTAATTTCGTTCTTAACTTCTAGTTTTGTCAGTTTGACATATCATCAGTATTTGACTGTTTTGGTTGTGCTAAACTTTGAATTATTTGTTGAGCCATATATCAAACTCTTCCTCTTTCAAAGAGAATCCAACCATAGGTCGCTTTGCTTGAAATTTCAATTTTTACACCTCGAAACAATGCTCGTAATCTGACTGAAGAACATCCGACGATTACATCTCATTGCAATCAAACTTAACAACCTATTTCGTGTCTTGCAGGAGATCGATTAGGGTCACGACTTGGACTGTGGAACGGGCGGACCAGCCTCTGAGAACTGTTGGAACGGACGGTCCATAAGATGAGAACGGACGGTCCACAAAACATCACGGAACGGACGTTCCATGATGCTGGAACGGACGGTCTGACACTCAGACTGTCCGGTCCAAGTTCGCAGTCCGATTTCTCCCGTTCGACACAAGGATTGTCCGTTACCCCTGTACCGTCCGTTCCGGAAACTCAGAACGGGCGGTCTAGAGTCAGGTCACGTGATCAGATCACGTTTTCCTGCGTTCTCGGCCCCGATCAGACCCGAAACTGATCCAAATTATTCTGTGAACCCAAAATTCGAACTCCTGCACTCTATGCAACATGAAACATGCAATCTACACTAGATTCAATCATCAAACATGCATAGAAATCAAAGCAAACATGGATTCAAACAATTGAAATCCCTAAAACGTGCATGATTAGGTTCTACGAAATCAAAACAGAGCAACCAGGCTCTGATACAACTGTTGGTTTCCTGGGATCTCTAAAGCGAATCATATTCCTAAGAGATCGATTCTAGGGTTTGCGCAGCGGATGTAAAACAAAATTTTATAGAACCCTAGAACCATGCTGCTATTGAATCGTAGAAACGTTAGAACGCTTACCTCAATCGATCCGGGGCCTATATCAATTGACGAATTCGTTCGATCACAAAAGCGAGGAAGTGTTGGTTTTCCTGGGATCTCTAGAGCGAATCCTATTCCTAAGAGATCGATTCTAGGGTTTGCGCAGCGGATATAAAACAAAAATTTAATAAACCCTAGAATCATGCTTCTAATGAATCGAGAAACGTTAGAACGCTTACCTCAATCGATCCGGGGCCTGTATCAATCGAAGAACACGTCTGATCACGAAAGGCAGAAAGAATACCTCACCCTCTACACGTATCCACACCTCGGGATGGATTCCAACGGTTGGAACTTGTCTGCTAGGACTGAATCTCTATTCGATTTGTGCTTCGAGAAAAGGACTTTGATCACACTCTCAACCTTTTTGGATCTCACCAAAAACTGCTAAAAGTCTTCTAAAGTCGGCTCCCTCATTAGGGTTTTTAATCTCCCTTTTATAAAGTGATTTAACCCTAATCCGGTTTAATTTCGGAAAAACTGAAGTCCGAAACGGACGGTCCAGAAAAGCACGTGGACCGTCTGTTCCAGCACGTAGAACAGACGGTCTGCTCACGTGGA